GTAGACTAGAGGCTCCCACTATGCATTTTCTTGTAACTGATCATTAAGTGTGGTGTGTGATTTTTTGGTATGTTGCTGAATTCTGGAACACAGAATAATAAGACTGATAAACAGCATGTGATCTAAGCAGGAACTGGGAGAAGGGAAAGATGTGTTTGTAGTGGGAATGAATATGGTAGAGAAATGGTAAAAACAAAAGTTCCTGTCATTAGGTTAGTTTGCAGATTGAATTAGGTAGGACACTGACCTATGTGAAAGGCACTGACTTCAGACTACTTGACAAGACCAATCATTCGCTACTTGTTTAGGTATTTTGTGCAGGTGAACTGCACTGAAACCTGACGTTGCGGCAGGTGAATTTGCTGAGGCATGTGACAGCAGATGGCTCATCCTGGGAATGTCCCCAGTGGCAAGTGTCAGGCACCAGGATGAACAAGGAGCTCAGACTTCTAGGGGCTCATAAGCTGCAGCCTGGTGCTGCAGAGCTGGGCAGAATCTCTATTCTATAGTCAGGTATCAGCAGAGTTTTTCAATTTCATGTAAGCAGGTTTTTTTCACAAAAAAACCAAGTGTAGTGTGCTGAGAGATTGATCGTGGTGACAGATCCCAACAACTTGGTTGTCTTAGGATCTTTTTCCAGGTCTTAAAATGGGCCTTATTGGAATTTGTAGGGAACCTAACAAGGTAGGAGCACTTGAAGAGAATTGCAGTGCCTGCTTTACACCTAGTACTGGTATAAAACATGGCAGCGTGACGTCTGGAGGGTGTAAGAGCAGCCCAGGCACCGAGTCTGCAGCCCAGCCCGGAGCAAAGCCTCCACATGGCTGCTGTGGATTAGTACAGCAGAGGCACGGACAAGCAGTCTGCGAGGTCATTGTGTGAGTGAGGCAGGTGAGGATTGGTTCTCTGGAGACTAGTACAGAGGTCGACAGATACCTCCTGGCACTCCTCGAGTGTGCCACATTGCTGAGTGTGCCTTGCCCCTCAGGCTTCAGAGGTGGGCAGCTAGCACGGAGTGACAGTGGGAGATGCAGGAGCGTTTCTTTAAGGACTTTGATTTGGTTTACAAAAATTAATCCCTGGAAATCACAGTTACCTCCCAAAGCTTAGAAAATGAGTCTTTCAACATTAACTTTTAGAGAAGGATCCTGGTTGTCTTCTTCAGGTGAAGAAAACTGACTTATGCCTGTTGGACCCTGTGAGGAGCTGCCTCTTTCTGGTTTGTTTTTTTTGCTCCTGGTCAGGCTACAGCCATCTCCAACCTCTGTAACCCAGTGAATGCACCAGCAACCCAAGACTTTGAGCTGATGAGATCTTTACATCTGAGTCAGAAAAGCATTTTAGTCTATTTTTAATGCTGAGGTCAAAGCCTGAACTAGCCTGTGATTTTGCATGTTCTCCTGATACTGAGCTCTTGTCTGTGTTGTGACTGTGCGCCAAGACACCAGCACCAAATGAGGCACACGCTGCCGATGAAATGTAGCATTGTTGGTTCCACACTCACTTATAGAAGGTTTTGCTCTTTCTAACCAGAGGGAGATAATTGCCATCACGTCATTGACTCCTTTTTTTTCAGAAAGAGTTTGAAGCCCTGGCAGTACTGCCCTATGGTAGCTCTCCTTCAACTGTGTGCAGATTTTCCATTCTGTGTACTCAAAAAGTACACTGCAGAGGTACTCAGGATGGTTTTCTGCAAGACTTCTTAATACTTCAGATCCTGTTAGTGCCTGTAGAGTGCTACATGACTGCAGCTGTGTGCTTCCAGGGCCCACTAGTGCCCAGAGGCTTAGTAGGCATAGCCACCCAGTGATGTGCCCGAGTGTGGGGGACACAATGAAGGGACGCCCAAGCACCTCTGTGCAGAATCACGTCAAGGTTTGTGTTTGGTAATGAGTTCTCCCATGCCTAAGCAGGCTTGGGCACTCTGAATTACATTCCCTCCTATTTCATCTTTTGTGTGTGAGCTTGCATTACCCAGGGTGAGCCCGTCTCATTAGCTTTGCTAATAGAACTGACTGTGCTCTGCATCATCCTTGCACAATGAAGATCAGCATCTCGGCCTTTGCCAGCCAACACTGAGGTTTTAAATTAATTCAATTTGCAGGGTTTACATAGATGTGCCATGAAGTCCTTTACAAATCTTTTAATAATGTCCTTCTCTGAAACCATAAATGTGTTTTATGGATTCAGTCAATCCCACTGAACACTTCAGCTTTCTAAATCTTTCTTTTAAGTCTCCTGCCAGCAGCTGCTTAGATTTCAGCATTATCTTTGCTTCTGTGTTTCAGAGAAACAGAGATCTATGCTGGAAATGCAGAGGAGAGATCTGAAGGTCTTGAAGAGAAGCTGGAAGAAGCTCTGCAGAGAATCAAGGAGCTAGAATGTGAGATGGAGAAAGAGAGGAAAGTCATCCCAGAGGCAACACACAAAGAAGGACAAGGTCAGCAGAATCAATATTCTGAGCCTTCTCCCAGACTTAGAGAGGGAAGTAATCTTTGAGGACACCTCATTCATCTCCTGTTTAGTGTAAGACCCTACACCCTCAACAGGCCAAACAGCCCCGTGAGGTGGTCACCCAGCCCCGGGACACTCAGTATGGTTATAAAGCTTGGCAAGTCCAGGAGATTTGCCTGGGTTGGGCATGGTTTTGCAATTTGACCCAGCCTCAGCTTGGAAGAGCAGTCAGTAAAACTGTCAGAAATCACACCAGCTCAGACAACCCCTGCCAACTCCCTCAGAGTAAATTCTACTTTGGTAATGTAATATATCACTAATCCTGAAGTTTATTGCTAAGTTTTTGAATGTAATATCTCCTGAAGGTAAAATGACAAGTTTCTGCCAGCTCTGTATGTGTAGAAGAGAAGATCATGCTGAAACAAAGCACATTGTTTGGAACTGAGAATGTTCTTAGCTATCATTTGCCTTTTCTGTAACTGCAGAAGAGTTACACATTTCTAAAAGCTATGTCTGAGTTTTGCAGATGTGAGTGCAAATAGGATAATGTGTGTGCCTTGATGTATTACCACACGTCTCTTGACAGCCATTTCTCAGGCTAAGCGTTGTTCCTTTGAGACGTTATCTGTAGAGGCGTTGGTCCTTGATGTGCCAAGGAATCTTTGCACAGGATGGATCATTTTACATCGAGTTAGAAATGCAGCCAGAGAAATGTTTGAAGAAAGAATCATCTGCAGCTTACTCTGTGTAATATCATGCTCTTTTAGCCTAGTTTGGGAAATAGAGACCTATTCCAGCCATGTAAGAAATAACCAGAAACAGCCTTAGAGAAGTAACCGCACATCGTATGTTCACCAGTGGAAGATTACAGAGCTGTTCCACTTCCCAGAGCTAGTTTTCCATGAGTGGATTACTACTGAGATCTACTAAAGACATACAAGCAAGAGCCACAACCATCCTGCCACCCTCTTCTGAGAGGGATACAGTGGCAGAATGATTTGGGCATGAGGTTACACCTGGAGCTCAGATGCTCCTGTGATCACTAAGAAGTGTACGTGTGGCTTTTTCCTACTTTCCAGACATTTTTAAAAGGGCTGATTCGCTGGAAGTCCTTGCTATAAAAAGGCTGGCAAATAGTTGTAGAGTGAGGATGATGGGAGCACTGTGTTAAGGGGACTCTAGCGAGCTGAAGGGGCTGGTTAAATACAGAGTATGTGATACTTAATAGAAGTGGGATTTTGTCCTTTGCAGCAGTGTTAAGTCAGTACATACAGGCCATCATGAGGTTACCAACGGGCACAAAAGGGACTGAAAAATGAGTGAAAATACAAAAGTCAGCACCTGGATGGGTAACCCCTGCCAGGCACGTGTGTGGTGGCCAACTACTGTGCAGGCAATTAAGAGAAGGGCCACAAAGTGCCCTCTGCCTTGGCCACCAGCAGCAGAATGGTGGTCCTGGGAATGGCCGGGCAAGGGAGGCCTGCTTTGAAGCAAGGGAAGATGCTGTAGGTCAAGTAAAAGGGCAGGAGCAGAGCTGACATCTACCCAAAGGGCACCAAGATCAGAGAAACCGAGCGCAACGGTATTTCTTTTGAGAGTGCCCCATATCTTGGCCAAAGGAAAGGATTGCAGTATCTGCATGTTCCCAGTCATTTCAGATAACTTTTGGCTGGAAAGAGATGATTATAGGAGTTTTGAGGACTTTCTCTGTTCCTTCCCTGTGTGTGGATGTTACCAATGCATCTGCAGCAGGCAAAAGCACTACTGTTCCCGAGGGCTCTCAACTGCCTCTTCCCTAGGGGTGCTGGATTCCCCCTTGTCAGCTTAGTGGGAGTTGGTTAAACGGACCTAAAATGTTTAAATGCCCACAAGCTCAGATCTTGTCCTGCCTCACCCCCCAGTGGAAGCAAGCAGCAGCACAGCCTGCCCTTCCTCCGCACGGCTGACTTGCCTTGTAGGGAAGTGCTAGGGGTGAAGGCTGCCCTTTCCTGCTCTCCCTTTTCCCCCCAGTTTGTAACTAGGGCTAAACACCGTGGTTGCCTGTGTGTATGTGCGCGTGGATGGTGACTGAAATGTCACCCGCAGGGCTACCCCATGGGACCCAGCTTGTTCCCCTGTTGCAGAACCCCCGGGGCTGGCAGCACCTACCAACCTGCCTGTGTGCTGAGCCCATTCCTGTCTCCCCACCCACTGTCGGGGTCCCACCCCAGTTTGGGAGTGAGGGACATTTAAGTACGTAGGGGCTAGTGTGCCCTTCCTGCCGAGGTGATGGGGCAAGATGGGTCAGACCCCTGGGGCCAGGCCCTGGGGTGTCAAGGTGCACCTGGCCCTCTCCCCTCAACTCCCTGCTCACATACACACCCCCCCTTATTTTTCCGTTTCCAAACCAAGCAGACGCTTCTTCCATGTACAATCTACTTTATGTTACAGGCTTAGGTTGCCTTCCCTCCTGCCTCCAGACCAAGGCCTGCTGGTGGGCTGCCTTCTCGCTCCCCTGTGAGCAGGACCAGCCAAGGGCAGCGTGGCAACCATTTCTGGGACAGCTCTTAGAGCATGGGTGAGTCCTTCGTGTCTTTCAGGCTTTCTGAGGGCTTTGTGGTGTCTGTGAGGAGGCTGCTTGCTGCAGGGGGCCTGTGGGTACCCGGAGAGACCATGTTCATGACATCCAAAGGCAAGGGCAGTATGAAAGCAGTAGGTTTCTCTGCGGTAAGGTTGTGCAGTGCATGGAGGTAACGGAGCTGAGCAGCAGCCGGGGCACTGGACAGGATCTCAGCTGCCATCCGCAGGGACTCAGAAGCAGCCTTTTCCCCCTCAGCAGCGATCACCTACCACGCAGGGGAATAAAGAAGGTTTCTGTGAGGCTGGGAATAAGGGGCCAGGGACTGTTCACTACAAAGAGAGGTTGCCACTGTGAAATTCCCAGGGCCAATGTGATTATAACATTTCTACTCTCTAAAGATCACAGCATGTACTAGACCTCTGGATGATCCCAGAAGTTTGGGAGCTGGTTTCTAACTTGCTTTTACTAGGCTCATCAGAGCTCACAACTGGGTATACTCTTGCTGCAACAGCATAGGAGGGGAGCCCCCCGCTAGGCCTGTGGAAGGGGTACCGGACACCAACTTCATCCAGGCTTTTGAGGAGCTTAGTGCAAGGGATGGACACCAGCCTGGGCTGACTAACATGCAGGGTACATGAGAGGGGTTACAGCCCTACACTGGGCTTCTAGAGGATAGTGAAACCCTGAGGAAGAGATCTCCATGGGGGTCACTGTAGGTACAGGGATAACTCTGCACCTCTCTATGTGTCTTTGTGCCTTACCTGTAGGCCAGGTACCAGACCTGCCACTCCACTGGACTGGCCCTGTCTCTTGCTGCAGCTCCCCTTGCTGGACACAGCTCTTGAACAGGAATTAAAGGAAACACATCTTCCCAGAGCTGCATCCGTGTGTGGCATATCCCAGGACCTCGAGCCAAGGATGGGAAAGGAAGGAGATGAGAAGTATTCAGAGTTGACATACCCGTACTTTGGCCTGTCTCTGGGCCTCTGCTTCCACTGCCAGGGACTGCCGGACTTCAGCAGGCAGCTGCACGTTGTTGCTGTGGTAATAAAGGACAGGGATTAGCTGGGCTCTAGGCTCTCATAGCACTAAATGGTCAATTTGAGGCTTTGAGCTCATCAGTTTCCACAGAGCAGTTCATTCATGTTCTTTGCTCCCTGGGTATCCCTCTTTGCATGTCTCACTTTGGCCTTCCACCTCCATTCCCACCCTTCTTTTCCAGCCTAGTTTTCTAATGACCACACTTGCTTGATCATTAGGCAGCAGAGAAACCTCTTCTCTCTGCGCCTCTGAGGGCTGAAGTCTAAGTTCACTCTGTGTGAGACAGCAGAGAATTCACTTGGAGGCTGCTCTAGAGACAGGCACAAGGAATTTCCTTCTGTTCATACATCTACTCATTCACCACTTGGCTCTCTCTTTCATGTTCCTCTGTGATGAGCAAGTCCCACTTTTCTGCATGGGCTTCTGAGTAGTGAGCCCACCCCTACCAATGTAAGACCCTGGGGCCTTTGATCTAGAGCGCAACACAGGAGGTTCAGTGCTTGCGGCTCCTCTTGGGCTACCACAAGTGTGTGCAAACTCTGCCTGCAGCAACAGTGAAAGGGTGATGAGATCCCGGCTAAGGATCCTGCCCTGGCTCTCAGTTCAGGAGCAAATGCAGTCTTTGCATGCGAAGTTTTACATAAGGCAGAACTTGAAAGGGGCAGGGAAAACAGGAAGGCAAGAGGTGACGCTCTACCTTCTGCAGAGTAACTGCAGGGAGAGAGCTGGAGACAGAGCAGGAAGAGGAGCAGGTTGGGACAGGTACTTGCAAAGGTTCGGGGAAGACCCCTCTACCAGCATTTCCTACCTACATTTCTGTTCTCTCCACTTTGATCCCCCAGCAGCCTGTGACCGCATCTAAAGCCACCTGTGAAGAGAAATATTTTTAGAGCATGAGGAGAAGGCTAGCCCTCACCTAGGCCCCTTACAGGAAGTAGGACAGTGCAAGGACATTCACTGAAGGCAGTTGACTGCAGGACTGTAAAGCAGATTTATTAGCTCTTGTGGCAGATTTATTAGTTTGTGTGTGCTATCATGTGAGGCCCCTCAGAAACAAAATTACTTCCTTCGCTTTACTTGCAATTTGTGTTTCCCCCAGGGGTTTAGCACAATTTATCCAGTCCATCTTACTTCAACGGTGGAACTAGTTCATTTCCATAGGAAACATTCAGTTCCTGGCGGGCATTATCATCTACTTGTGTCACAGCCACAGAGAACTGCTGCTGGAGATCCCGTGTATACTGGGCTTATGGCAACTCCCTCAGGCTGCAGAACACATTTCTTGTGGGAATCTACTCTCTGGGATAAGTACTGAAGCAGGGCTATCACAAAGCACTGATGAAACTGGTCTAAGTGATTCCTTCATGCCTCTCATATCCTCCTGTCTCTTACTCACCACAGCCATCTGTGGGGCCCACACTGTATATCCTTCCTCTAAAGTGATCCAAGTTAAAAAAAAAAAAAAGGAAATAAAAAGGAAGAAAAACCTCCCATTTTTTGTGAAAGAGACTCACATTGTTCTTGTACCCTTCTGCAAACCAGTGTCTGTGATTTTGAGGGACTGATCACCCAGGATTTTTTGTGGAGCCTCAGTTCACCCCTTGCTCTGCTGCCTCCCCGCTGTGCAAGCACCTTTATTTCCTTGCTGATGCTTTTCCTCTCCAAGAGAAGTTCAGAGAAGGCTCGATGTGCCACAAGGCGCTTCGTGGTGGTCTGCACCAGCAGCTGGATGGCACTGGATATGCTGGTCAGGGTGGTAAGGAGAAGAGAGGCGTTCTCCAACCGGTAGTAGCAGACAGCATCTATCTCCAAGGTAACCATGTCTTTGGTCACTACCTAAGCAGAAGACATGAGGGAAGATGGACCTGGTTCTGACAACTCTATGGTAGCACAGAAAAGCACAAAATTAAGAGAGTGATGAAGACTGGCTGGATGGTTAAGTCTTCCTAGTTTCCACCTCTGCTATTGACTGATCTTGTGCAAGCTGTACAACCTCTGTCTCTCAGTTCTCTGAGCAGCATCTCTGTGTCTGTCTCCTCAGTACAGCTGCTGGGCTGGGGGCTCTGAGTACACTGGTATTTTAGGCTGTGTCTCCCTGCTCACTACTGCCTGGTCCTTTCCCGTTCTGAGAGCACAGGTGGTGTCCTGAGGTGTGTGCTGGGTTATCGTATCTCCAGAAAGATCTGCAGTACACCGTTGGGGCGAGCCTGGAGTTGCTACCAGGTAAGGACAGTCCCACTGGCAATGCAGCACCCCAGACAAAATGGCCCAAAAGGAGAAGAGCTGTGGCTAAGAAGGCTGCAGGTTCAAGGGTTAGAAGCAAGGATTCAGACCTTTCTTCTTCTCAAGCTTATACAGCAGCAGAGTAACATCCTTACGTTCCTATAAGATCTTAATCTGAGCTCCAGTCCCTGCCGCATGCACTCATCAGTGTGGTGAGCAAAAAACAAAATGGTCCAGTATTGCTGGCCTCACCACTCTCTATTGATGTGTTGCCACTAGAGCATGTCAGACTGAAGCGGGGACTAAAAGCAGTAGTTTCAAAAATGCTTGATCTTCCATTTTCTGAGGTGTTAGGGTTACCTGGAGATTTATTTTCAAACTTTTGTATGCAAGGACGAAGGCTGGAAGCATAAGCATGTTAATTTTTGAATCTCTTTAATCTATGTAGAGAGTGTGAGCCATACCTGATGGAAGGGAATCTCTAGGGTTTTGAGGCGGAGGTCTACCTTGTGGTACGTGTCCAGACAGGGGAGGAAAAAGAAAAGGCCTGTGGGAGGAAGAAAAAGGCAACTGGTGATCATCAGAACCACAAAAATTGCCTCTCCGGCTCTGGAGAACAGAGATTTCGGCATACAGAACTATAAAGGATTGGCAATACATAGGCCCAAATTCTGAGGCTGTTTCTGTGATGGGAAAAGCTGTTAGAAGCTACTGGCCCTTAAGAGGAAGTGAACAAAGCCATCCCATCTCCTGTCTGGCTACACCTGCTTGGAGGGCACCAGCATGTAAGCTTTGGTAGAGCATGACGAAAAGGAGTGACATGGCTGGGGGACCTTACCAGGCCCTCTGGCTCTGCCAGGAAGGAGATGCCCAAGCCGGAAAACGATGGCTCTCTCGTACTCCCGCACTACCTGCAGAGGGAAACGAAAGCTAGGCTGGAGAAGAAGGTGTAGGACAGGAAAAAAAGGCCCTTGCCCATACAAGAGGAAGTTGTTCTGGGAAAGCCCTGCAAAAGGAGGATTTCAGCAGGTGTGGGCTAGCGGAGTCACCTATCAAGGAGTGCCTTTACCCAGGCGGAGAGCTTGGCCCAGAACTGCTGGCTGATCTTGTCTGTGAGCAGTGCTGGAGCAGCCCTGTGACAGCCAGAGATTTGGTGATGGTGGCCCATGTCAGAGCTGCCCAGAGTTTCTCAGGATGAGGCCAGGGTCCTGCTTCCTTATAGCTTGGCCAAACAAAACACCCCAGGCTAAAATTTTCCATGTCTGTCGGTTGCCTCCAAGGCAACCATGTGTGCATGTGCTCACATGTGTAATATCTGAGCCGTAATACTGGCACTTTTGCTGAAAACAAGACGCACACGAAATTTTGTGAGAAGTGGGAAACAATATATGGCTACTAGTAGCCGTGCTATAAATCTGAGAACAATGGAGAGAGAAAATCTACTATTAACTGAGAGACCAATCTCTCCCAAAATTTTTGATTTAAAGCTTATTTACCCCACTGCTGCAATGCAGCTGTCTCTAGTCTGAAGGTTATGTTTGAAAGTGAACAGACCTGCTATTCATTTTAAAAAAGGACCTAAGCCCTTGCCTGCTGATATTGCAGCAGAAGTATTTGATAGGTAGCGGTTCGACCCCTGTGCAGCTCTCTGCAGCAGCAATATGTGATAAAGCATTAAGTCAAAATTAATGATGAGTCAGAGAAGTGTAAATAGGGCCTTAAACAACCGAAAAAAATTATGCCTGTATCTGACACATGCTGAACCAGTGGGCTACATGCATCCCCATTGGATACCAAATACTAAACTGAGAGAGGACTGTTCTCACCTTCATGCAGAACCAGACAGAAACGGGGAAGGTCATTATGACGAACAGGAAAGACAAGATGGTCAGAAGCCACTCACAGATGCTCAGACCTGGAGACCTTACACCTAGGGAGAAATCCAACATGTTAGGAGAGGACTGCTCCCAAAATACGGATGACTTGACAAGCCACTGGTGCTGCTGAAACGTCCCTGTGCTCTAGAGCAGTCATACCAAGCTGCTGGAGGCTGACTGGGGGGATCAGCCCCAGGCGAGCGTCACCTTCTACGTCTCCCCAAAGTCACTTTGCTCTGGCTGCCCTTTGCTGAGCTCCTGCCTGAGGGAAAATCTGCAGGTATGGCATGAAAATCGATCGATTACTTCTGGACATACCTAGACACAGAGGGTGAACCATGTTTTCCGGCAGTGAAATTAGCATCACTACATCCCTCACATTTTGGATCCCTTCTAGTCCTTCTCTCCCTGCCCCTTTGCCTTCGGAGCTCTCTGCAGAGCCACCAGGTCCTGAGGGAGGTTCAGATCCCAAAAACATGCATGATCACTAGAGTTCCACAGCACTGCTCGCTAGCCAGGATCCTTGTAACTCAGGCCAAAAGAGGAAGCTGTGAAAACGTAGCTCCCAGAAGGACAGGTGCAAGTCTGACCCTTTGTGTCACTCTGGGGTAGCAGAGCTGCAGGCATGGAAGCAGACATGATTCTGGCTCCTATAATAAAGATCTGCCATGCCTGTGATGATGCTGGGTCTAAAGAGGCCCAGCCACCTTGCCAAAAGACTCCTGATGCTCCCTCCTGTTGTGGCAGGCTGGGAATCTGCCTGTAAAACACATGGCCTGGAGAAAAGGTGCTCTTAAAAGTTATCCAGAAGGGGAGCTTCTAGTGTGCACCTCAAGCGCAGTCCTTCAGGTTAAAAACTGGTACTAAGGCTAACTCTGTCCACCTAAAGAAGGGCAGGTGAGAAAAGGAAGAGAATAAAGCAGGAATAGAACTGAGGAGTGGTGAACTGAAGGGTGAAGGAAGCTGGGGAGGTAGCTGCTTGTTGTAGAGCTCATTGCTGTGCCAATCAGCCTGAACTGCCTGCAGAAGCTGGCTGGGAAACTGGCTGGAGTCCCTCTGATCCTGTCCTCAGGATAAGGACATGTCTGCGCAAGGTGAGTGTCATGACACACACCACGAGGAGAGCAGAATCATGCTGTGACCCACGCAGAGTCAGAAAGCCCATAGGTTTCTGGCCCCTTCCCTTCTATAAGCCATACCTTCCTCTTGCTGCTCGCTGTCCAGCAACGCCATGGCCTCCATTTCTTCGTCAGATATCACACCATCGACATCCACCACTGTGGACGTCTGCACTCTGCCATCAGTCCCCACGGTGCTCTTGATCTCCTTTGCTTTCTCTTGCTTTACATCTCCCCTCCTTTTGCTGGCTTCTCTGCTCGTCTCCCTCTTCTCTTGTTTATTCTGTGTAGCTGGGGACTCTCTGCGTCTCCTGTGAGACTCCCTGGAAGAGCTCCGAGACCTCTTATCCATCCTCATCTGTGCCAAGGAGCACGGAGCTGCCTGTGGGAGCAGGATGAATTCGTGCTTGAATTTATTGCTGCAGGCAGGAAAACCAGGCAGGGGAGGAGAGAAAGGGAGGTGTCAGATCAAGGAAGCTTGTTTCAAGTTTATTATAGGCTTGTCAGACGTAATGGACAGTGAAGTAAGCAAGCTGTTTCCCAGCTGCTCTGCTCTCGTTACACACTGCTGACTGGGAAGGAAGGTTAGACCCAGACAAGGTGGTCTCCAGGAGAATATTCTGTTTGCATCTTCCTGCCTTTGGAAATAAAATACCACCAGAAGCACTCAGAAGATTTTTAGTAGATACTTTTTGCAAAGCTCTTGAAAAGCAAACTAAAAGTAACTGTTACACATATGGCTCCAAATGGTGAGAATGGCCCAGATCAATAAACAACAGGGTGAAAAACCTTTGCTGGTGAGACCCGTGGAGATGGAGGGTGTTGCAGAGAACAGCTGAGTGAGCAGCATCTCTGCTCTCTAGAAACCCTTTGGCTGGCACAGTGGTGGGATGCTGGCAGCCAGCTCCTTCTCTCGAGGGTCACCTCACATTTTAGCAGGTGGGGGAAATTAGCTGGTCCCAGTTCAGCCATGAACTTTCCTGAGTGGGTGCAAACCATGGAGACCATCGTAGGGCTAAAGGTATTGAATCTCTCTTATAAACTGCCGAAAGACTTTGTGCCTCCATGCCCCTTTAGTTTTCCACGTCGGGACTGTGGCAGAGCAAACGCAGGAGCGTTTTCTTTTCATGCCACACAGCCTGTGGTGGCATCTGCGGAAATGCCTACAAGAAATACTTTTAAAGTGTTTTAAAGCCACTGACCATGTTGAAGAAACCAGCACTTGGCTAGAAACCATACTACAGCAAGATAAAGCTGGAACATAAAGCGGTAAATTCCCTGTCAAAGGAACAGAGCTGAGCTCAGGGGTGTCTGGTCTCTGGTGCGGAGGAGTGGCTGGAGGGTGCCAGGAAGTTGGCCAAGGAGGTGCTCCTCTTGTTTTTTCATGGATTCCTGTTTTATTGGAGAATTATGGCCCACATGGAGTCAGGATATTGCAGGCAGGGAGGACAGGAGGAGTAGCTCCCTGCTTTATCTGCTCGGTCATTGCGGATGCCTTGTCAGCAGGTCACCAAGGAAGCAGTGGACAGAGGGGGATAATGGCAGAGGAGCCAGGTTGGGCAGAAATGAGGTGTAATTAATGAATTCATGCAGTGTGATGTATTTGCTCTGGAAGTGCTCCAGAGACCTTTTCCACTTTGCGTTTATCCCTTGGCCGGCGCGGGGCGGAGGGAGATGGGCTCCAGCTGCGGAAAGGGCAAGTGCTGTTTGAAGCAGCAGCAGAAAATGGTGGCTCAGGTCTGGTTTTGGCTGGGCAGCAGGGACTCGGGTCCATTTCTTGTCAAAAGCACCATCTGGCAGATTTTACACTCACAAACCTGAAATTTCTGGGTTTGTCCAATGTTTAATGTGGCCAGTGGCTCCCGGCTCCAAGGGATGTTTCTGGCTGCTACCTCAGGACAGGGAAGACGCTTTAAGAGCACGTGCTGATGGTTTTGCAACCTTTGCTGACCCAAAATCTGGACCCACACCCACCTACCTTGTCATAAAGAAACACATCTTCCTTCGGATATCAACCACGCTCTTGAGTTTTTTTGTCAAAGGGCTGCAATCCCTTCAAAATGGCCATCGCAGCCCTGCTCAGTGTGCCCTTTGTCCTGGGAAAAGTCAGTCAGCGTCTCCGCTGTGGGTTTTCCTCTCAGGTGGGACAGAAAAAATACAAGACTACTCATAACAACGTCGGCATTTGGGTTTAAATATCG